GTCGCAGCAAGAAGCAGGCACCTCCAGCAGCTACTTCTCCACACTTTGTATCACCTGTGTCAGCGAGCACTCTGGAAATCCCTCATCAAAATCCCAAGGCTTGGCTTGGCCTTCGCGGCCGGTGCGGATGCAGCTGGTGTGGCCTCCAGGACGCGGCAAGCACAGCTGCAGGAATGTCCGAACTGACTCGCGCCTTTGGTTGTACTTGATGCCGCCCTTTTATGGCGAGCCCAGGTATTGCTGGTGAGCCAACGGATGCGAGCAGCGCTACATTGCGAATCGTGCGTCCCACAACGTTCTTCAGACGCAAATGTGGCTTGCATGCAGCGAGAAGTTTTACAAGGCGACACTCCTATCGACGCTTCGAGCACATATTATGCTCTGCATGAGGCTCGCGGTCGGAACAGCGTCCCTGCAACACCTACGCTCACACACCATCTACATATATGGTTTACACATAGCAAAGGGGCGGACTGAAAGAGCCTCCGAGGATTGGACATTACCACCTTGCGACTTGCAACGCCCTGCCAGCAACCCCAGCAGATTCTTTGGCACAGGACAATAGGAAGGATGATGGCCCTCTTTGAGGCCATGGGAGGCCTGACCGACCGGCCGAATTGATCGAGCGATATCTCAGTCCGAGCGCGAGCCCTGCGTCTTGGTGCCGTTAACCTGGGCTGTGAATTCTGTGGAGTTGCTCGAGCGATAACGACTTGCTCCAACGCGCCGCTTGCTTGACTGAGGAGACCACGGTCTTGCGGCCTTGCTCGCAGCTGCGCACGTACAGGCTACGACAATGACGGACATCGCGAATGTTCCTAAACTCAGGGCCGGGCTGCGAGCAGAGGCAGATCCTCGTCGCATGCGCTGGACCTCGGCAGGATTAGGAATGATTAGGGGCGTGTTTGGGGCATCGGGAATCGGGAATACGAGTAGCACATTGTAATGCCGTTGCTTCTGTTATATACACTCCGCATCTTCCATAAGCAATTTTGAAGGACGCATTGTAGTGTCCGGACCCATGCATCACTAGCAGACATAAGGCTCACGATCAAATTTGGAGTGCCGCGCATTCGAAATGTCCCCAGTCAGATGATCTACTGGGCACAGAAGACGAATACTGTCGGATCAGGCAACAGGCAGAGCACGGCGGCAATGTGGATTCCACAACTGGAAACATACAGGAAACTGTGAAGAAGCAAGGGCTGCAAACACGTAATAGCACGGTGAAGAGACTGAGCATAATGTCATGAACGGTGGCATGAAACCATCGCGGCTGAATACGCAATCCGAAGCCAAGCATCCCCACTAGCAAGCAAAGGGCTAAGACAGGTCCGGCCATTGAAACGCAAGGTGTAGCCGACGCAGAGCCCGAGAAACACGGGCTGGGCTTGTGGACCCCCTCGTCCCAAAGCAACTAGCAGTAGAAGTTCCAGTCGCGGTAGTGTTTAGACCGGGAATGAACCCTGAACCCCGAGCCGTGAACCGAATTGCGACGCCCTGTGAGCCAAGGCTGCAGCAGCTGCAGGAAGGCGGTTCGTCTTTGGACGAAGCCGCCCCTGGCGTCAAAGGAGCATCAGGTACGAAAGCCAAAGGTTGGTGGTAGCCGTCCAGGTGGTAAACGAATACTATGCTTTAGTAGAAACGGGCTCATCTAAGCTTTAAGACGGACCGTGGCAGTGGCAGTGATGCTGAGACCACTTACGTTCTAAGATGAAGTCTGGTAGTGGCACTGATGCCAAGCTATGGCCGAAGAAGGCGAAACTGATTTCATAACATGCTTCTGACTGCTAACATTGCACCACGAGCAAGACTAACTCGCAATCACCAGCCAGCAGCTACTATGTGTAAGGATTGCTGTTGGTTCAGGGGTCTTGTCAGTGCCACGTTGATTTTGGCGAATCAAAGAGGCAGGTAAGTGCAATACAAGTCGGATCGGATGAGGTGATGATCGACCAGTACTGCCCACGGATATGGCAACAGTTCGCCGTATCGGCTTCTATGCGTGCAGAAGGTGCCAGTTTACCATACTGTCATACCCCGCAGTGGTTGGGGCTGCACGACTTCCTCTAACACAACAGCGATTGAAGAGATCGTTGTGTGCATGCCTGACGTGTGCATGGCCGGAGTGAGCTGCTTGACTGTAAGAGCTAAGAGCTAGACAGCCGCTTCAACTTTAAACTCGTTCCTCACCATCCAAGAGGCACATTAATTACTCACTTCACTCCACTGAGCTTCGGCCTGCAGCCCCGCGGCCGGTCGTCCCGGTGGCTGACCCAGCAGACGCGTTCGTCGGGGTCACTCGGCACGGAGTGCATCTCCGCATCCTGATCCACAACGAGGGATGACGGTGGTTTGGTGCTCAGTGGTTCAACTGTCTCTACAGTATGTGGTCTCGTCTCCTTTCCTCTCCTCTCCTCTCCTCGCTCGCTTTCTGTCGTGCGCTCTCTCTCTCTCTCTCTCGCTCTCCTCTCCTCTCTCTCGGTATCTCTATTCTTCAGCAGTCTCAGAGGGACAACGCGGTCGCGAAGCCCCTCGCGCGGTTTCGCGCACTGGGGGATTAAGTGTTCAAGAGAACTTCCGAGACCACTTGTTGCCCGAGCCACTGGCTTTCCGACCACAACCCGCCCATCTTATGAGCCCCAACCCGCCTCGACGAGCACTCCTCACGCCAGTTACTGGGCTCCTGTCTCGAGCTTGGCCCCAAGCTCGCGGCCCGGAGCCCCCCGTTTGGAGAGCTCGTGTTCCCAAAAGCACTCGTTCACTACACTTCGGGGAAGTTTGGTACTCAACCGAACTGCTGATTACGCGAGCTGCGACTGCACTTCAAGTGGACCACAGTGCACGCGGTCACGGACGCTGCAAGACTGTACAAGACTGAGGCCCCGGCGACACACTCCTACTTCCCCAAAAGTATCAGCTTAGCCCCCCTAACAACAGTGTACAGCGGCTTTGGTGTGTCGGTGCCCCCCCCTCTCTCTCTCTCTCTCTCTCTCTCTCTCTCTCTCTCGCTTGCTTGCACATCGCTTGGGGCAGAGAGGTAAGACCCCCTCCAACCCTGCGCTCACGAGCTACGCCGAGTGTCCAAGTTTGGTCTGAAAGTGACACGTTCGCGGGCTTCGAGTCGAGCTGGACTTGTTCTTCCGCGTCCCCTTTAGTAAGTCCTGAGTAGCCTCGTGATGTCCAAGCATGCAGTTGCAAGTCCCCGCCTAGTCCACTCTCACTTTCTTTCCCCAGGGTCCACTCTTTCTCTCTCTCTTTCTCTCTTTCTCTCTCTCTTTCTCTCTCTCTCTCTCTCTCTCTCTCTCTCTCTCTCTCTCTCTGCGGCAGGGCCTGGCGGAACGTCACTCGTTTTGGCACCATGGCACACAGCAAAAAACAAACAGAACAGTTGTATCAACAACAATGCTACTTCGTATTTGGGAGTGACCCTCATGACCTTAGCAGTAGGGTGGTGGTGGTTGTGGTGATGGTGGTGTCAGAAGCAGTAACAGTAATGTAGTGGTGGTAGTAGCAGCAGTAGTATATAGTAGTAGCAGCTGCAGTAATAATTGTAATAGTAGTAACAGCAGCAGTATCAGCAGGGGCAGTAGCAGTAGTAGTGGTAGGGGAAGAAGTGGCAGCAGCAGCAGTAGCTGCTCATGCGTAGTTGTAGTGCAGTAGTCGTTGTTATATCCGAGTAACCTGTGGGAGAGTCCTGCAAAGCTTTTGGGTGCTTTTCGTGGTAGCGCGATGACGACAGTCTAGACGGCTTTCCGTCATTAGAGCTGCTGACGTAGTGATTAGATACCAGGTGTCGGAGTGTAAGTGTAGTCGCGTTATGTAAGCTCTTGTGTTGGAAAGCCAGTATATGGACATGCACGTCCTACCACTGACTGAGCCACAAAGCCGAACAGAGTGTCAACGGTTTCCGCGGCTTTTCGTCAACTCATCAATGTAAAGACAGGTCTTGCAGGCTTTGCTCCTTGTGCGACCTCCAGCGTTCGTTACCGGCGCACCAAGCCACTGCTTCCATCACTATGACCTTGAAGGCTCCTTGAACCCCGATATGGGAAACCTTTGCATACTTGAAGGTGCGTTCTTTAAGCTGTAACAAACCTTTCTGGCAAGCTTCCAGATTAAGTCCTTCCTGGCTCGGCCCCTTTTTTGATCGGCAGAAGCCTGCATGCTGAAAAGTTATCAGGCTGAGCCTTGGATAGGGAGGCACTGGCAGAGTTTTGCCAGTTCAGGGTTAAGGGTTTAGGATTTAGGGGTTGTAGGAACAGGGTTCAGGCCTTTTCTGTTGAAGTAGGGTTTCGGGTTCGGGTTCATTTCCGGTGCCTCCCATACTCCCTCAAGCCAGTGATGCAGCGTGTGCACAACATGAGGCGGCTATGTGCAGGGCACCCACGCGGCAGCGCAGCTGATTGGGACAGACGCACTTTCGCGAACGCTCGGCAACACAGCAAACCGGGGAGTAGTGATAACATTTATATGAGCTTATGAAACTGGACTCACTCTGCCGTAACACCATACTCCAATCTTGAGCGCACGACATAGATCGGAGGTCATATTGACTCCTACAGAAGCAGAGCTTCCGGCTTCTGGCTCCCTAGCTTGTCTCGCCTCCGACAGTTTTGCAAAGCCCTAAACCCTAAACTCTGAACCCTAAACCCTAAGAAGCGATACTTAGAAGACCAAGGCCTGTCGGGTTTCGGATTCAGGCTCATAGCAGGCGCAAAACCGTTTTCGAATATAGCCTCCTTTAGCAGAGATGAACATGACAAGGAAGTGAAAGCTTGTGGTGATCGATGGGATAGGCGAACTGCAAGAGTACAAGCCAAGCGCTTTGTGAGCCTCTTCACGAAAAACGTCTGCACATCTCTTTCGTGAACCTGACTCAACCCGAATCCCAAACACTGTAATAAATCCAATATTCAATAGAACTCTATGAAGGAACTCTGAGGGAACCTTCACCAAACCAACCCTGCCCTACGTGCGATTAACACCTCATGACACATCTACTCCCTGGTCTTCCGGGTCTTGTAGGCGTCGATGCATCCCATGCACACGTAGTGGGTCCCGCCTCCACATCTGTAACCAGGGTGTACTCACAGAAGGCAATGCTTTTCGGCGCTCACACTGGGCAAGGCTTTTACGGGCTGAGGGTTCGAGTTTTGTGCCGTCCGCAGCCAGGCGGAGCTCGCAGGGAAATAAGGATGAGGCTTACGGGGAACCCTGCCTCCACATCTGTAGCCATCAGACAATCGGTATTGGCAGATTCCGCAATTTTCGTCTGGTGGATTGGCCACCTCAGCACCGCAAAGTGTCGCACATGGCTCACTGGCCAACAAAAACAGCCGAGATGCGTTCAGCTCGAACCACTCGAAGTTGGCAGGGCAAACGCCGAGACAGTCTAACGCGTCTAGCGTTGACATCTCCTCGACGATCTTCTCTCCCTCTTGCTGTGGCACTTTCCTCATTTAACAGCCAGGATACGACAAAACGTCCGTAGACCCTAAACCCGCTCGCTGCCGGGTCTCTCTTCTTCCTTGACCTCCTCCTTCGGCCTTTCTCGGTTCTTGCCTTTTGCAAGCGCTTTGACGACGGCCTGGGGGGTGCAGAAGAAAGATGACAAAATTTGGCTGATGGATGACTGCCCGGCCTTCACGTGGTCATCTCTGGATGGGGCCGCATTGCCGGAATTACCTGGAACATCTTCATCCAGCATATCGTCGCCAGTTTTCATGGCCTCGGAGGAATTTGCAGGAAGTTACGCCGAACTCCGGCCCTGCCAGCCGGAAGGTCAAGATGACAAGCAAAGGTTGAAGCAGGGCACGGACTCGACGCCTTTGAGCAGCTCGGCAGCCATCTCCCTTGCCAGTGAGCCAACGGCCTCCTGCCACGGAGGTCGACCACGTTTTGGGGGACGGTTGCGCTGTGTCTCCGCCGGAGGATCACCTCACAATGGTTTAGGGTTTAGGGTTTCGCATCAAAGCATTCCAAACCAAGTGCGAGATCGATAGCACATGCTTGGCATGCCTGAGGCGCATGCAGACTTCAGTTCTCTTCTGCTCAACTTCCATCCCAATCAGGAAATCCTCCGGAAGCCTTGCGCGAGGTTCCATCTCTCAGAAGCGAGTAAGGGTTGAGTAAAGGAGAACCAGTGCCCACTGTAGTCTCGACATGTGTTTCCACTGCAAAACGGCCCAAGACCCTATTCTAATCAGTAAGGCCCCTAGATTCCTAGGTTAAAGCCCATGAAACCCTAAAAAAAGGCTATGAAACCACAAAACCCCAAGTCCAATCTCGCGGCTAAATTATGCGCTGCCGTATACAGCATACCGTAATTGTGCTAAAACCCTGCTCGAGTCATCAAGTCATGTCAGGTCGATACATTGCGATCCAAGGCACAACTGGCGGCAGGCCAGGCCGCTGACGGCCAGCTGCGATGTTGGATCTCCCAAGCGTGTGGCCAAGCGGCGGAAAGCTCTTTCTGCAAGAGTGACAGCAAGTCCTGCACAACAACCACTGTCACGGAGTTTTAGCGGCTACCGTTCCGACCACACCGTTTGTTTCAATCAGAGCTTCAATTGATCAGGACTCGTGGGCCCATGACCACGTACTACAGCACGACTTGGACAATCCCTCAGCATGGCAGCAGCCACGGCACCGGCAGAACTCACCACTCCAGCAACGCGAATTGGAAACCGTGCCACTTGGATCGATGATCGAAATGGGGAGCTTAGGGAATGCTGTCGGCTGCAGTCGATTCCTGTACGAAGTGTTGGACCTAAACCTGAGGACCCTGAGTTGCTCCTCCGTTGTGCTGCGATATTTCGTTTCCATGCTGCTTCCGGATATGGGTGGCAAGAGCATCGCGCAGGCCAGGGACGAAAGACAGATGGAAGCGATCTTGAGCAGCATGCTCACCTGAGAAAACGACCCGCAAAACGTGCCCGTTCCATCTCAGTGCACCTCCGAAGTCTTGCGACCAGGCGACAGATTTCCGCCAGTTCTTCGGCACTGTAGTCTTCAAGTTGCAGCACCAAGGAAAAGCGACGTCGAAGCCCGGGATCGGAATCCATCAGAACCTGATTTTGGTCCGTAATGAAAGAAGCCGTGATATAATCACGCGCTTGCCCGCCCGAGCCCGCCCGTTCCTGCATCTGGCTGCGCATCGCCCAGCACCATGGGATTTGTCATGACATGGGAAGCCCTCTCAGCCGAGCTCCCTGCATCCATCTTGTCTGCATAGCCAGCGAGGACTACCTGGGCTTTGCATCATGCGATCGTGTGCAGCTAGAAAGATGGCCATATGGATTTTTCGCCTGCAACCACCAACAACGTCATTCAAGCGAAGCGACCAGAAGCCCCGTGCGATGGTTTTCCACTTCGGTCAGAAGAGTTCGAATCACTTCTCCACTGAACTTGTCGCCTCCCCGGTCGGCCAGCGCATAGGCCTCCGCTTGCAACACAAGTCCAAGGACCAAAGTGACAACGAAACCCAGCCCTTTCTGGCTTTGCAAAGCCAATGTGCCTCTTGAGAAAACTAAGCATCACGGACAATGTGTAGAAACTACCAACAGGCGTGGGACACCGGGCAGAGCCAGGTAATTGCGGCTGTTCTCAGTGAAGCACATGAAGAGTACACACGTGGGTGGAAGTGCTCCACTGAAAGACTATGCTGAGTTAAAGACGCCATCAGCATGGGCAGGCACACCCCCAGCATGCCTCGTCAATGAAAAGGCATCCTCCCATAGCATCACCTTTGCCGAGCTCCGCTTCCCACATCAGAACGTCATCGAACACTTGTGGGTCCATATATACTACCATTATGGAATATACGTCCCCAAAAATACCGTCTTTGGGACCTGATTCCCAAACAGCTGTGAATATGGGCATTGGAGCAAAAGGAAATGGAACAACTGAGACTTCGAATTGCAGCTGCAGCGACGCACGGCTTCGGCCACTGTAGGCGCCGTCTGTCCAACAAACTGTCCTTTTCACGAAGGCGGACGGAAAACCAACGACGACGGCATTCAGACCTACACTGACCGTGTTTGAGAAAGCCCACATCTCGGGCTCCCGTTTAAAGGAGCCACCCTCCGTCCTTTGAGTGCCAAAGCGTTCCGCTCGACGAATGTGTCACGGGGAAGCACTCCGTGTGCATAGAGATAGCGGCCGATGAGCCGGGCCACGGTCGTCTTTCCGGTCCTCAGGAGGATGCAAAAAATTCTGAACGGATGGCTTGCAATGAGAACCACATGTGGATGTGGACCTCCGATCTCCGTCTGCTTGGTGCGCACCATGGAAGCTTCTTGGGTGTTAGATGTCATGGGACAGGGTGATGAATTGAAATGGCCGAGTGTCCCTGGATTGCCGGTCAGCCTCAGGTTCAGACTCGTTTGTAGAACGCGCGGATCTCCGCCACGCTCAACAAACGCCACGGTTCGGGAAAGCTCGGCAAAGAAGGCTTTCACATTGGCCATGCCTCTGCACGAAATACGCAACTCTACAGCCTATAATTCTTCGCCCAAACAGTTTGAGCATGTTTGGCCCTTCGTCGTGTAAGCGTCCGTGATCCTAGAACGCCCAGCCTGTGAGGCGTTCCACCTCCTGCTGCACCCGCTTCCGCAACTCCGGATCGCCCATTGTGGGGCGTTCCTCTAGGTTTATGTTAAGGAACTTAAAATGTAATTTAGCATAGTTTACTAAGAAACCATATATAATTACTAAAGACCCCTATCTTGGTAACTTGCATTCAATTCTAAACAAGAACCCAGTCCTCGATGCCGAAATCGGCGGCCGTGAAGACTGCCACCTCTTTCTTCACATCCTGGATGCTTCTCCCACCTGAGCTAATAATAGCAATACTACTACGACGGCGACTCCTACTACTACTACTACTACTACTACTACTACTACTACTACTACTACTACCACTACTACTAACACCAACACCAACACCAACACCAACACCAACACCAACACCGACAGCAACACCAACACCAACACCAACACCAACACCAACACCAACACCAACACGAACACTAACACTAACACTAACACTAACACTAACAGTAACAGTAACAGTAACAGTAACGCTAACGCTAACGCTAACGCTAACACTAACACTAACACTAATAATAATAGTAATAATGATAATACCAATAATATACATATAATACGAATATTGAATATTACCGGAATTATTACCAACAGTAATAGTGATAAAGCTGTCCCCTGGGGGCCCAACAAGTCGAGACATAGCAACCTTGCACAGCAAGCCTTGCTGAGTGTCCACGCTGTTCTGTATCTGGCCCTTGCAAGTCTACTAACCACGAATAAACTTTGAATCCGATAAACAATGACAAAATCCGTTTAGGTCGCTTACAAAGCCCCTTGTAGAGTGGACAGCCCTAGCTCCTGATCCCAAAATCCTATTGTAAGTATTTACGGCCCTATATTATACCCAAATAGTATCCATTATAGATCCCTTTAACCAAGGCATGCCCTAGCTCCTCAGCATTTATACAGATCCTGTATAGTAGCCCTTATAGACCCCTCTAAAGGAACCATATTCTAATTATTAAGCCCAAGCCGCTACGTTGCCGAGACAAGGTGGGTGGATCCTGTGGGGAGCCCGGAGCAGTTGAAGCCCTTCCGGGCAAAGACATCTGTGCAAAGGCCTGAAGCGGTTTAGGGCTTAGGGTTTAGGGCTTAGGGTTTATAGGGTTTAGGGTTTAGGGTTTGTAGGGTTTAGGGTTTATAGGGTTTAAGGTTTGCAGGGTTTAGGGTTTTGAGTTGCGAAATCAGGGTGAGTTTGGGGGTTTCGGCGCTCACACTGGGACAATCCAGGCGAGGCATGTACTGGTTTAGGGTTTAGGGGTGGGTTTGGGGTAATTACGGCTTCGGGTGACTAGTGCTTTTTTAGCAAGTACTGGGTAGGCCTAGGCGGCCTAGGGACTGAGCACACTCACAGCTCAGTCAAAACACGAGACATATGCGCTGCACCCTGTCCAAGCCTCCGGATACTTCGACACGATTCGAACAATCTGTCTGTCCAGGGCTTTCTCCTCAACTGCTCGAGGTGTCAAGTACAAATTACTGGACCCTGATGCACTGACAGAATTTCACAACACAATACAAACTGAACTCAAGGCAGGAAGGAGTGCAGTGAAACGGTCTGATACGTCAAACGCACACCCTATCAACTAGTCTGTTGCAAGGGTCGGTCAAGTTTACTGACAAGCCCGCATTCTGCTGCGCGATGTCCTTGGATGCATCATGATGCTGCAGATCAGGCAAGCAAACAGCCTGGTTGCTAGGGTCTCAAAAGAACACCACAGAGAACCAGTTAATCGTGTCAAAGCAAGGTGCCCGCCAGAAGAAATTCTCAATGTGCTTCTCCAGCTTTTCCCGCAGACCCGGCTCGAACTCGCGCTGATGACGATGTCTGAGGAAAGAAGCTAATAATAATAATAATAGTAAAAATAACAATAAGAAGAATAATAATTGTAATTGTAACAACTCCGTCGATGCTTCAACTGCACCCAGCCTGGCGCATGTTTCGCAGATGTAGGCCAACTCGCCCGGAGTGTAATCATCGAGGTGCAGTCGATTCGGAAATCTCCGTGCTAACCCTTCCTCGGCTACGGATGAAGCTTCGGCCGACAACACCAGCACAGAAGCAAGGACCCTGTGCAAAGCCTGATGAAACAAGCAGCTTCGGCGCGCATCAGTCTTCCCATCTTCTCCTGTGCTTCAGATCATGAGGATGTTCCATCTCGCGCGCGCAAAGAAAGCTTTCGAAGGGGGCTTTTCTAAGGTTCGCAAAACTCCCGAAACACATACTTGCCTTGTAGCCGGCCAGGACCACCATAAGGTTCGTTCGGTGATTCTCGACTTCCGTCAGCAATGTCCTGCGTATGGATTACAATATGGGTTACTTCAAGGCCTGCTGTATGATTCAAGCCCCGAACCCCATGCTTCAAAGCCCTGCAAACCAACGTATGCTATGCAGGGCGTGTAGATGCGCGGCAAAGCTCTGCTGGGGGCCACCTAAAGCTAATCTGAGGATCGCGTACAGGCTCAGGGAAGACAGCTGCTTCTGCTGTGCAGGACTCCATAATCCAATCAACAACCGCAGAGCCCATACTCTAAGTCATCCCGACCCCACAAAATATGCATCACGACCGAATTAGTCATAAGTGCTGATTTAGTGTGTGCAGCACCTAGGGTTTTTGGGTTTCGGTCGTTTCAGTCTAAGGGAGGGTCTCGTTGCACCTTCTGGTCGCCTTTTGTTGCAGAAATGTCACCGCACAAACCCTTCCTACGGCTTGCTTAACCAAAGCTCAGTTTCAAGATGGGTCTAGGGAGCTATAGAGAGAAAGACACGTTTTCTTGTTGTAGGAACTGGGTAACGCGTTCGACGGTCGGAGCTTGGTGATCAACGACCAGAAGGGTTTGGCAGGCGCGCTTGGTTTTGGGTATAGCGTCTAGGTTGAGGCTTTAGGCGTTCTGGATTTGCTGTTTTGGTAGATTCAGGGTTTAGGTGTTGCATGCCAGGCATTGGGGTTCAGGGGCGTAGGGTTTCGGGCTTTACTTGAAGGACCATGGGACTGAGGAAGTCGCTTATGCTTGGGTTTACAAGCACCGGAGGTCGGGTTGATATATAGCCGTAACAGAGTAGACAAAGCTTGGGTTTGGCCTGGGTTCTGGTTGTTGGTGCTGTTAGAATTTAGACAAGGGACAGTAGTGACTCTGTAGTGTCTGTTGCTATTTCTCTCGCTCGCTCTCTCTCTCTCTCTCTCTCTCTCGCTGTCTTTTCGCCTTGCTTTTCGCGAGGAGGGGGGCGGGGTTGTCTAGAATCGATTCAACCTCGGCGGAGCGATTGCATAGAAAGGCATTTCGCAGAACCTTTTGATGTAAGGAGGTGCATCTCCGGCACTTCTCCTAAACAGCTCTGAAACCTGAACCTATGCGCTGTCACCTGCAAAGCACACCTTATCAGTCATTTCTCGCGGTGCATTGGGGAAGCAAGTGCCTTGTCGAGGGCCAGTGGCTCTGAAAGTTTCTTCGTTTCTAAGAGTCTGAATTGGGTGAAATGTTGGGCTCTATGGTGTAGACTTCAGCTCTTAACTGTATTGGATTCAAGCTTTAGGGCTTTCAGGTTTAGGGTTTCGGGAGTGTTGACCCAGAGCACAATGCGGTTCAAAGACAGTACAGAGTATAGGGCTATGCAGGCTCAGCAACCCAACAAGACATGCCTTACAGGGTTTTGGGGATGTGACCGGCATCCTAGCGCTTCAAGACGGGTCAACTCTGTAGCACCTCGGCCCTCTTCGAGTGAAAGTGCGACGTGATGGATGCTCAGGAGAGTCAGCAGACATGCTATCACTGAGCAGAGATGTCGAATCTTCACCGAAAACGCGACACGAGAGGACACGGACATATCTCACGCATATTCTCAGTCTGAAGATGTGCACGAACGAGTTTCCATCATCCAAGGTCCAAGACCAATAAAGCGAGAGGTATAGTTGCCAGGAGTAAGATTTTGGACTTGTGAGTTTCCTAAAGGACAAAAAACCCGCACCAAATAGGTCATTAAGCACAATGGCCAATGCAAGTGTCACTCCTGAGTGCTTCCTGGGAGAATGCATCGCCCGCCCCGCCCACACCGGCCGCAGAGTCCATCAAAGCGTAGGCTTCGTCCAAGAAGAGGCAGCCACCTAAACTCCCCAAAGTAGTTCCTTTTTGGGGTTTCGTATATAGAACCCTATAGGGTAATCCCAAAAAGGAACTACTTTGGGGCCTCTGGGTAAACTCCCCAAAGTAGGTAAACTAGTGGCCCAATACCCATAAAAGGCCATTCTTCTACATACTTTTGGGTCCAGGAACTGGAAATATAGACCCTTATGGACCCTCATAATACCCATAGAAGGCCATGTTCTACATACTTTTGGGGTCCAGGCACCCATGGCTTCTTGCACAGCAGCTTTGACACGAGGCGCCGTGCCGCCCATGAACTCAGCCTTCAACTCAAGGCCTCGGAGGGTTCTTCAGGGGTTTTTCGAGACATTCAAGCCTACCTGGACCCCAAAAGTATATAGAAAATATCCTTTTATGGGTCTTGGGCCATTATTTCAGCTACTTTGGGGGGTTTAGGTAGTGCAGTGGCCGGGAAAAGCAAGTTTGAGCAAGCGCAGACGAAAGTCCGTTCTTCTCCACGAAGCTGTCCTTGGGAAGAACGCCGTAGGTGTGGAAGAAACGTGCGAGGAGCCGTGCAAAGGTTGTTTTGCCGGTCCCAGGGTTTCCGGTAATGATGATGTTCAAGCATACTCGAAGATCGCTCCTGGTACCCGTTTGCTCCACAAAAGCAACCTTCTGTCGAACTTCTGCAAACCACTCTTTGGCTTTGGCCATGCCCACGAGGTTGCTGACCTCCTCATCAATGGCATCCTTCTGCTCCTTGCCCTCTCCAATGGGGGCCCCAACCTCGAAATCTTCCTTGGTCAGAAACTCGCTTTCCGGGTTCTCTCCTGGGGTCTCCCCCTCCTGGATCCGGTTGAAAAGCCTGCAGGGGCCCGCACATGCCACGCATCACACTCATTTGGTTCAAAGGTCTCACAGGATCCTTGCGTATCGTTATTGTTAGTCTTACTTCTTCTTCATATTATTCACGGCTAGTATTAGTGTACTTTACTGCTAGTATTGCGGGGTACTGACGGTATGATTATTGTTCCTATTATTCTTACTATATTCTTGATATTATTATTCTTATTGCTTTTGTCATGTTTACCGCTAATATCTTTTATTTCGCTTCTTACCAGTATTCTTATGATTACTAGTACTCTTGTTGATCTCATTGCTCTCGTTAATTTTCTTCTTATTGCGATGATACTGTTATTGCTATTGGCCTTGTGATGCGATTTTGCACTGCTCGCTGCAGCAGTCGTCTAGCCAAGGCTAAGTTCCCGCGCTCGCCGAGCTCCTTTCCCTGACCACCTCCAGGGGTCTTACCTTTGGTTAGTAGGGAAGGGAAGAATGGTTACCTAAACCCCCCAAAGTAGGTAAAATGATGGCCCAATTCCCCCAAAAGGCTAGAAATTCTACATACTTGTGGGGTCCAGGTAGAAATAGTAGTTATAATCGTATCCCATTCCTCCATTCCCTACTAACCAGAGGTAAGGGGTTTCGGCGCTCACACTCGGACAATCCAGGCGAGGCATGTGGTTCGAGGCCTGATGAGTGAAACGATCTAGTGGGAATGATCAGAGATACAGTTGCAATTGAAACTGCATAATCAACATTATTACTGCAGAGCAATTCCCCAGCGAGCACCAAGGACAACGGCTAAGAGCCTACGGAAATCCTGGATTCTGGGGACTCCAATCGGCAGACCACCGTCACGGGGGATGAGGTACTCATGAAGGGCCATCAGGGGATGTTACCGGCCTGGAATGACCGAGGATACTAGGATGATCACAGCGATCTGTTTGTGGAGTACAGACAAACGCTCCACTAGGACTGAAAGGCCGACCTGGGGATGAACATGCCAAACAAACAAGGGAATAAACAATCAATCTAGACATAAGTGATTGCAACAGTCGATACTAAGGCGGGATGCCTTCGGTTATGTGGGAGATGGAGGTTTAGGGTTGCGGGGATTAAGGTCTTAGTTGTAGCATCCAGGTTAAGGAACTTAAATGAAGCTGCCACAATAGGGGCCTACAGTAAATAGGATGGCTCCGTGACCACTTCCAGGGTTTCGGCTTTTTCCCTATGGGTGTAGGGTTTCAGCATCTAGATGCGTTAAGGTTTGGAAGCTTAGCTTAACTAAGCGACCGGTATTTATGTAAACATCTAGAGACAATGCTAGGGATCCCTTTGCTACTTTAAGGTAACCTAGGCTCAACTCCAGCCTCCGCCATAAACCTCATTGATGTGCTCTGCCAGTCTGGTGTCTAAGTTCTCCTCGAAGGCCAAAGCTCCCGAGGGGAGTCCCGCGGCCGTGTTCGCGATAAACTGCACGAGCTCCACTGCCGTGAAGTCCGGAATCGCCACGTTGGTGGGGAACCGGGCTTCTAGAGAGGGCTCCATCCGAGCGATCCTTGCTAAACCTTGCTGGGTACCGATAATGATCAGCAAGGTAGTGCCGCTGCTCCCACCATCGATGTTTCCCAGGGCAGCAGCCAGCGCGCGAACGACCTCGCGGGAGTCGACGAGAGCATCGACATCCTTGATAGCCAAACACCCATGCTCCGCTGCCGCCAGGCGTGCGGAAATGATCTCTGAAGGATCACCTTTGTCAGCAAGTTCTTGGGAGTCAACCTTGGTTGCTGATACAAATGCTGCTCTGCAAAGAGACCAAGACCGGGCTAGAGTCCATTCAAAACCAGGTGGGAGTTTTACCGAAAATTAGGGGGATACCTTATTTGGGGGGTCCTTATAATCAGGATCCTATTATATAGGGTCCTATATTGGGGTCCCCTATTTTCTGAAGCTCCCAGGTTGCCCAGACCACTTCTTCTCGGCTAATCGCACCAGCCGCTCGCAGGAAACACGTCGCCAAGCGAACGAAGGTCTCTCGTCCAGCGCCTTGCCCCACTGAGGACAAACTTCTTAGTGCCGTTGCCATGTCATGTCGAATTCACCATGCCCACCACGCACACTCATGTAACGACATAGCGGACATGCGCTGATGCAGTGTGCCGCACTGTTACGCACCGTTATACATGTGTGCTGGTCGGCCTGTCCGGTCCTAACCCTTCCTAAACTCCATATCGTCTAACCTAACCCAAAAGCATCTATACCTGCTTGTAAACCAGAATCACGAGTACATGTATCTATGTACTGATACGCATACAGACGATCACGTCGGCCGGTGTCTCTGTGTGAATACCATGCAAGTGCAGGCTTCGACGGGGTCCTGGGTTGGATGCCACGCAAAGAGCCCGGGGCATGTGCAACGCGCCGGCCAGGGCGGCGGAGCCTCCCGCTGCAGCCGCCACCGCGCCGCTCCCACGGGGACCGGTTCCCCCCAACTGCCGGCGGAGCTGGGCAAAGAAGCATCGTGCCGTGCCGGCCTCCTAGGGGGCCGGTGGAAGAGTTCATGCCAACACGACTACCAAATTAGAAACAGAGCCGAACACTATACATAGCTGCTACGTAAGACTTTTCTAATTATCTCCCGCAGGCCTCCTCGGAGCCCCAGCCTACAAGCTGCGTGACCTCCGCCTCGACTTCCCGCATCCGGCGCTCTCTCTGCTCCGCAGTCAGGACATCCTTAGTCTTACCTTTGTTTTGTAGGGAATGGAAGAATGTAGTAATAGTAGGTAGTTGTAGTAGTAGTAGTAGTAGTAGTAGTAGTAGTAGTAGTAGTAGTAGTAGTAGTAGTAGTAGTAGTAGTAGGTAGTTGTAATTGTACCCCATTCTTCCATTCCCTACTAACCAAAAGCAAGTAGATCCGGTCTCCACGCTTATCGCAAAGCCCAGTGCTCGCTTGGAGTTCAGCTCTACCTCTCCCCCTTGAAGTCTACGAAAAACCTGTGCACTGTTGAGGAAACTGCTGACCCATCCAATTCCCCTTTCTATATAGCTGCTCTTCAACACCTTCAACCCTAAACCCTATCTGACTCTCTTTGTACCCTATATTCATCAACCCTATATCTGACTCTCTTTCTACCTGCTCTTACACAGGACTATACCCCCAGTAGAAAATTAAACAAATAATAGTCTCAGTTTTCTCTTCGGTTTTTGTATGAACAGAAACAGAAAGAATCCCAAGGAGACTATAGAGGAAGGCTCCAAGCCGAAGTCCATGGGCGTCAGGCGGAATCGCTCCACTGAATCCAGGGAGTCCGCCCAGGTTCGATCGTTCTTCCTTGAGATCGCCAGGTCCTTGGGCAGCTAAGGGCTATAAGGTCTGATGTATAGATATATATAAATAAATGTATAAAGGCAAAAAATGTATGTATATATATATAGTCTTATTCAGGGCTATATGGTAGATGGGCTTAGACTTAAGATAGCAAACGCAAACGTAAAGTGCTGTTGTGTCTTATACAGGGTTTTGTAGTGGCGACTTCGTTTACAGGCAAGTGTAGGATTTAAGGTTCAGGGCAGTTAAGGCTTTGCTTAGTTTTTGGCGGGGCCTCAGACGATTCGAGATTTTCTTGTTGTAGGGTCACTAGTGTGTTGGGCTTTGGGCAACGAGGCACAGGGCAACTACGGTCCACCCAATAACAAAAGGTGGTCAGATGGTTTCATACGTACTACGAGTAGGTCCATCTGCTTTTACAGAGGTCTCATCGTTCAACCATTGTTGCGGGGGTAATAATCCCTACTCCCTACCCAGAAACCCCATAGTAGTTCCTTTTGGGGATTACCTGATTACCTTATAGTCTACATAGGAAACCCCCAAAATAAGGAACCACACTCCTTTCCAAACTCTCCGCCCGAACCTCCCATGATCCGAGGTACCAGCACGTCTCGCGCCAAATGGCCATTCTTCTCACGAATGAGTTTCTCGTCAAAGCGCTGCCGGACGATGTGCTCGAGCACCGTGATAAGCTGCTTCGTGCCGACATCACCCTCTCCTGAGCAAGAGCCCGCGCGCATTGAACCTGAGAACCTGTCAATTTGCTGGCGGCCCACTTCTTGCCTCCAGGGGGCCAACGCCTTCGTAGCCGCGCTTCTCCACTTCTGCAGCAATCAGCATAGCCACGTCTGTCGGGCTCAGAGTTGGCAAGACCAGGAGGTCTGGCTGCCGACGGCGGAAAGCAGACAGCTGCCTCTGGCATGCTCTGGAGCTCGAAGTCTGAACCCAGAAGATTTTGCGAATCCCATTCAGTCAAGCGGCATGTTTGCTTCTACGGACTCTGGCGGGCCAGCCATGATCGCGACACTGCCAATGTCCAGCACCTGCGCTAAGCCCTGTCCTAAACCCTCGTCCCTCAACAAAGGTGCGCATCTTTATCAGGGATGAAGCCTGACCCTAAGGAACCCACGTGGCAAATGACGAGCCCTCCTTGAGATGATGGAAGCTTGCCCGGCCTGCTCCAGGATGGATGCATCCGACTCCGTCAGACCGGCATTGAGGCGCATGTAGAAGCAGGATCGATCTGCCACCTTCAATTTCCCTGTTTTGGGGTCCAGCCTCAGCAAACCCTGGTGCAGTCGTGAACATGCCTAGTAGTCCATGCTGCTGCTTCATGGCCAAGATTCCCCAGAAGTGCAGCTCAAGGGCAGATCGCTGAGGGCGCCAATGGAGATGAGGAGATCTGCCTCTGCGACGAGCTCGTCATACTTGTAGTTGCCTTTACCAGCTCGGCAGACACGGAAAAGCTGTGGACGAGGGCAAATGGCAACAAGGACCCCCCCAAATCAGGTACCCCTAATGTTTGGAAACTCCCATATGGTGTATGGTTTATATTGCTAGTATCCCCATAATAAAACCCAATACATACACTCACCAAAATTCGAAAGGAGCCCTATCTACACTCACCAAAATGGTAATATAAGCCCTACTTCAAATACTCCGATGGCAGAGGGCCTACCCTGCCAGAGGGCCCTTGCACTCGCAAAGGCCGATGTGAGCCCGGGGGGAGCTCCTGCGCGAAGCGAAGCTTTGGGAGTTTTTCCTAAACTCACCAACGTAGGTAAAATAATGGCCCATGCAATACCCATAAAAGGCCATTATTCTACATACTGTTCGGTTTTTCCTACCCATAGGCCCCAAAGTAGTTCCTTTTTTGGGTTCGCATATAGAATCCTATAGGGTAATCCTGAAAGGAACTACTTTGGGGCCTCTGGGTAAACTCCCCAAAATGGCCCAATACCCATTAAAGGCCATTATTTCTACATACTCTTGGGGTCCGGGTTGAGGTGTTCAGGAACCGGGGTCAAATTCTAATTGGACTCGCCGTGCTGTTTAGGGTTTCTAGGATTTTGGGGTCTCCTCCACAACCAGCCCAAGGTCGTTCTTGCTAAGCAAAGCTCCTGCGGCAGAGAGAGAGAGAGAGAGAGAGAGAGCGGGTTGAAGAACAGTACTTAGAGGGTCATGGGACTTAAGGTTATAAGTGGGGCTATAAGTCCCCGAAGTCTGGTTATCCTTAATTATAGCCTACTTATAACCTTACTTACTAGGTCCCATGAGCCTTTAAGTAGCAGCCACCCCTAAACCTTAAACCCGAAACCCTACCCTAAACCCCTAAACCCTAAACCCAAACAACCCCTAAACCCCTTTCCACCTGGACTACGCATATGCCAACCCCGAACCCCTAAACCCTAAATCCCTGAACCCTAAACCCTAAACCCCTAAACCCCCAAACCCTAAACCCCCAAACCCTAAACCCCTATAGGGCCCCAAAAATGCACATAAGCAAAAATTAGGGTAGGGATATCCCATATAAATCCCCTTATAATAAAGCCCAATAAGGTAGAAAGCCCAATAAGGTAGGGATATATCCCCACAAAAAGCTTATGCTTATGTGCTTTTTGGGTCCCCAACCCTAAACCCTAAACCCAAACCCCTAAACCCTAAACTCTACTGAACTTAGAACCCTAGCAAAAATTATAATTTTAGCTGTTTCTTAGGGATTATAATAACCAAAAATTAAAAAGTATTTCTAAGTAACCCTAAGTAAACCCAAAGCCACCCGCCTCGATTTTCCGAGTCTTGCCAGGCTGCAAGGCGAACCCTGGAGCCGACACGGACCGATGCCTTGCAGAGAAATCCCCCCCGATCTTTGGTACTTTGGGGAGTTTCCGAAAACAGGGGACCCTAAAAAAGTAGCCTAAAGAGTAGGATCCTCATTAATATAAGGAGCCCAAAATAAGGTACCCCTAAGTTTCGGAATCTACCCTCTGTTTGACCCTAAATGCCTTTTATTTGGGACCATATACCCCTCTTCGAGGGTACAAGGAGGGTCCTGGCCATCTTTGGTATTTTGGGGCGGGCAAGCGGAATAGAGAGACCCAAACCCCTACAATCCCCCACACATGGGTAGTTGTCAAAATTATGGCCCTTTTTGGGTACCCTAAATGTTAAGAGGCGTATTATAGCATATAAGGACCCCAAAAAGGGACCCTAATATTGACAACCACCCACATCGTACTACCTCGCGCTGGGGCACAGTGAGTTGATTGTTCAGGAGTCCGAAGAGTCTGCCAATCAGTTCGGCGGCGACGTGCTTCCCCACCCCAAAGCCACCACTGATCAGGACGTGTCGTCGTGGTTGCTTTCCTGCCACAGAGAAAGTCCAAATCAGGTGTGACGGAGGGCAGACGAAAACCGTCTAACTGCAAGTATGCAGGAAGCCCTGGCCCTGGCAGAACACCCCGATGCCGAAAACGAATCTCTGCGGTACAGACTGTGTTGCTCCTTCTTTGAGGACATGCCGGCCGGCAGCATCGCGCAGACGTTGCACGATGAACTCCTTCACCCAAACATCCCCACAATCCAGCAAAGCAAGATCTTGTTGTATCTTGCTGAAGTATCAGTAGCAGCCTAAACCTCGCTGCAAGGTCACCTTGACGGGCTCAAGGCCAACAGCGCGATCCAAGTCAGCCTTCAACCTGGCCGAAGCTATAGCTGCGTGACTTTCTCTGCGCCTGACGGTTCAGCCACACTCTGCCTGCAGTAGAATTCCAATTCCTCCTTCTGCCACAGCAGCAATGCTGCCAGTCGATCTGTTTCAGGACCTCTGTTCTGGCTGTTGAGATGGTCAAGTGCTCAAAGAGTAAGTTACTTCTGCATACTTGGACACAGACTCTCTCGTACCCGCTGAACCTGAGCCGACAGGCTTGAAACCTCTATCCGACTTACGCACTCTGCTGCCAAGCATAACTTCGATATCTGAGGCGTTTTCCTCGGTGTATTCTCGCTGCTCTCGAGCTCGAGTCAGTCCCAGCTTCTTCCTTCGAAGAGCACGACTCAACAACGGTTGTTTTATGTGTAATCATGCACTTCCTACCGGATTCTTCCCCGAAAAGGGAGCATAAGTGGCATGCCAAAAGTCTCTTCAATACTCCGCCACAGGAACTTCAAACGGTGCTCGTCGCTGTATCTGACACCTTAGAAAATCTTGAGGGCATTCAGACTTGCTGACTTGCCTCGAGGAAACACACACGAACGAGCATTGATGTCGTGTTCTTCTTCGCCGAGATTCCGCCGGATGGGGGCTGCGCCGGCTGCGCTGGCTCTGGCCGCGCTGGCTTTGGCACCGCTGGCGCTGGCGCAGCAGGCGCTGGCACTGGCGCCGCAGGCCGTGGCTCAGGCTTTGCTTCCGGCGGCTTCACGGGTTCCACCCTGGCACTGCTCAGCATGGAGCATTTTGGAGCACGCGAAGCAAGCACATGCCTCGGAGGCGCTGGCTCAGGTTCGGTTGCACCTGAGCTCCAGAATCAGGGCAGAGATTGGCTACAGCGCGCATCTGTGTGGGGCGTGCCTGAAGCTCGCTCATCGTAACCTTCAATGCGGGAAACAGCGGCATTCCGCTCGCAAACCCTGTTCAAGGCCGTGCCTCCCGTGGTTGCAGGCTCTGCGGCACCTGATCGTCTCTGTATCCCCGGTATCAGGCAACTGAACACGTGCCACAGGTGTATTTGCACGCCCGGTACCACTGAATCGGAGACAATGCAGCAACAAGGGCTTCTTGGCACCCTGCTATCCGGAGCTGAAGGAACGGGCACTGCAGCAGGAGCAGCGGCAGCAGCCTCGCAAAACAAATCGGAGCTCTCATCACAGCCGGGCACAGCGGCAACATCGCGGCCTCTGCTCCAACAGTCAAGAAAAGCTCCTCAGCTCCGATTCGGTGGTAGAAGGTTATGTTTCACATTCTCTCTTCTTCTGCTGCCGATCATGTGTGCTTGTGCCGGCTCTTTCCATTCTTTCTTGGGCTCTTGCTCTTTGAGGAAGATTCCGTTAATGCTTTCCGACAATCAACCTGGGGTGCGAATCCTTCCACAAACTGGAAGAAAATGTCAGAACTGTGGATGTAGCAGATTTGCCGTTCCTGCTCTTTCTTTGCATATGTTCGTGTCCTGTCGTTGCTTGCGTGTGCCTCCGATTTCCCTTGGTTCCCGTTTCCTTCCCATTCCTTCTAATTCCTACCCTTACCGCCCTTGCTTTGCAGAGTTTCGAGAGATGAACACGAAAGCTGAGATGACAGCACCTTGACACTTCTAGCTCCCAACAACACCTGCTGCTCATACTAACTGCCAGGTACGGATCACCGAACTCAAGCCAAAGCACCTGTCCCTTTCTCAAACCCAAGCTCTCAAGGCTTGGGAATGCATCCACCGAGGCGAAGGAGCTGTAGGCAGGCAAGGCCTGCAATGGGACTGCACAGTGGGCAAAGCCGGCAAAGCTTCCTAGCTTCGAAGAGCCCTAAATCCTAAACCCCAAACAGCTCGGGGCCAAGACAAGAAAGTCGTGCAGGGAGCGGCGATCTGACTAGTGCCAATGTCGTTGATTGAACATCTTGTACCAAACTTGCATCATCGGAGCACGAGCCCTAACCTCTGTACTTATTCCCGCTGCAGCACTCCCTGCGCACTGAAGGAACGAAACCTTCAACCACGCTGCCCAGTTTGAAGCTCGAAGCCCCGGCCTCTGCCTTGGGCTGTACTGGATAAGTCGACCTCAGACTGATGCAAACCTTCTGGGATCTTGGCTTTAGGGTCTCATCTCTAGCGAGTTTCAGGCTTAAGGGGCTAGCAGCGTGCCACAGAAGAAAGCATATCAAGGAAGCTGCACACTTCGAACCGCTTGAGGATGCAACTCATCTGCAGGTTGCAGCACTTGTCTCGCTGGAGCCACGTGAAAATGCTCCTCAATTGCCTCGTCACGGGAACTCGACTCTAGCAGGGACACCTCCCCTTAACCACACGGCACATGCCCGATATCTCGACCTTCGAAATGCAGACCTCAACAATCTGCGGCCTGATAGAAGTGAAAGAGGCTGATGGTCGCTGTTGTCCCTGCCATCTCCAGGGGTCTTCGACCTCAGACGGGTTGATTCCTTCTTTCCTGGACCTATGTGTGCATGTGTGTGTGTGTATCCCTACATGCCTATTTACAATCTATTTGCTTACATATACCTATATCCATACACATATGTCAGTGTGTGTGTACATGTACATGTACATGTACATGTATATGCATATGTATCTGTATCTGTATCTGTATATATATATATATATATGCGCATGTGTATGCAGTAAAACATGCACATTTAGCATGTTTTTCATCTCCCTACCAATCTACCTATCGATCTTCTACCTGATTACTTCGTCTTTATAACGTAAGAAAAACGAAATCAAGCTGATGAGATCTCATCGATGTGCCTACCGGTATATCCATCTATCTATCTGCCCTCCGTCTGTTATGTCTGTCTGTCTGTGTATCTACCTACCTACCTATGTATCTGCTTAACTCTCTAACCCATCTGTCTCTTTGTCTGTCTGTGTACCTACCATGCCTACCTACCTATTTAACTATCTCATCCATCTGTCTATCTACCTATCTATCCATCCATCCACCTTACGCACATCGCATACACCTCTCCCCCTCTCACTCTTCTATACCATAGCTTCGTATCAAAAGCAGCAATCTATCAATCTGTCGCTACGTTATATCAATGAGAGAGAAATAGAGAGAGAGAGAGAGAGAGAGAGAGAGAGAGAGAGAGAGAGAGAGAGACAGAGACAAAGACAAAGAGAGAGCGAGAGAGAGACAGAGAGAGAGAGAGAGAGAGAGAGACAGACACAGAGAGGGAGAGAGAGAGAGAGAGAGACACGGACAGAGAGACAGAGAGAGAGTCTCTGTGGTGCAAGGTTTGGTTTAAGGCTCAGGAAGGCTAGGTGTTAAAAATGAGCCGCTGACCTTTCTGGCCGTCCACATCGTAGCGGACGCGGATCAACAGCTGCGGAGCTGCAGCGGGCGCCTCCTCAGCAAAGGACCCAACTTCACCGACAAACCAAACACGATGACAAGCAAAGCAGTGAGGGACGCAGCAGCAAGCGACGTGCTCTACGAATCATTTTGGGTATTTTTACATGCGTGCGGGCGTGCCTCGCCCCTCCAAAGCGTTGCCAAAATAGCTCAGTGGCAAACCAAACTAGATCCAAGACCAGAAGACATCTTAGAAAACGCCACAGCCGAAAGCAATCTACAGAAGTTCAGCCATGAAACGGAAAGTTGGTTTCAGGGACTGAAACCCGGGAACACACCGAGGTAAGTCCAATGGACTGCGCATTCACTCACGGTGGCAATGTCGTGCACTGCCCAAAGTCAAGCCATGAGTTCAAGCTGATTCTCCCGTTACAGCCGACATGGCATTCTCCCATTACAGCCGACACGGCCTTGAAAAGCTGAGCTCTGCTATGCGGCGAGCCGACGTATGATGCAAATCACGCCAACAGAATCCCCTGCACCCTGAATTTAAGTTACCATGCCAAGGAAGCCATATCATGTACTATAGATCCCTATATTGTGGTAACTTAAATTACGTTCCTTAACAAGAACCCAGTGACTGGATCACAGTGCCGAGGCCAAGGCCTCTCGAGCACTGCTGCGAACAGCATCGTACAAGTCTCGGTCCGCACGAATTTCCTGAGTGAGGCTTGTCAGGAAGTGCAGGAAGGCCCAACGTGTTACAGGGCGTATACTCTGAACAGAACAAGGCTAGCGTGAAGGAAGTCGGGCATTCTCAGCGAAGCTTCCAGCGTAGCATGGCAAAGGTAACGTAGCTAAACGAGTTGAGGCCTTATGGTTCACTGATGGTTTCAACCGTCCTGAATCTTCAGGAGCACGCAAACTGCAAAGCCGAAACCCTCTCAATCTCCGCCGTCCACGGCCACCTAGGCACAGCTTCAATTCGTTCCTTTTCCGCTTTCTTCGCAGCCAGAGCCTGACAATTCGGATTGTCGGTGTAAGGTAGGTCAAGGGTTTAGGGTTTGCGCCTACAGCGATGTGCATGCTTAAGGCTTGCTGAAAGGAAGAAAGATGACCACAAGAGTATCAAACCTGCCAAAAGAACGACGAGGTCGAGCTAAACAGTGCATGGAGGTGTTTCAATCTGCAGCAGCTGGAGAGAGCATGCCTGCAAAACTCAGCGGAACTATCAATGCCACAACAGAAAGTGTCATGGTCTGCTAGGGCCGGAATCAAACTCTTACAGAACCCCTGAATCACACTCAAAAGCCAATCTCCGGCCTCTCGTTCGGCCTTGGCGCGAGCCATCTTTTCTGCTTCGGAAAGCACCTGAAAGCGACCCCAAGCACGAAGGGCATATAGGGGTTTTGGAGCTCCTACTTCGCAGGACGTTAGAGGTCGGAAGGCTCTCGTCACCAGGGCATCGGGTTTAGAGATTATTGGGTTAAAGGCCGCACGCAGCTTAATTTGCTAGCTAAGCTCTTGGGTTGGCTTGCGTCTTAAGTTTCTGCGTGTCCGCTTCTACGGTTCATTTAGCCAGGCAGCTAGTGGACCCTCAGAAATGAAACGCTCCGTCCGAAGTTCTTACGGAATCCTCTTGCAAGCCGTCGGTGGCTTTCATTAAACCCTCGCACAACAACGACACCTTAACCCAGCAGGAGCTTAAAACTGTGCGCACAATCATTCGCTGAGCGCCCAGCCATGATGCCGACAGCCCTAGTAGCCCACAGGACAGCGTCGGGGCCGTTGGATCTTTACAATCCATACACTTTCCGTGGATGCGATGAATATCCCGGACCAGAGTGTGGCAACAGAAACATGTTATCAAGAACACGACATTTGGCTTGAAATATTTGTGTCGCTACCTACAACAGCTTGAACGGAAGAGCGGCGCAGCGTACATTCACGTCATGTTTCCGAACTTTTACAGAACCCGCTCGACAAAAAACCGCTGCGCAGGACCGTTTCGAGGGTTTGGGGTTTCGGTGCTGACGTTCCAACATGTCCCTTAGTATGGATGATCTTTAGTAACTTTAGTATTATGAAATGTGCTGTCGCTCAAACTGAAACTGAGGCCCTGACATTCGGCTTTGGGTTTAGAGTGGTGCGCGATCTCGCATCTCGGACACAGACGAGGTCTCTCGGTTCGCGTCGCGTTACATCAAAGCCGCAGATCTGGGTTTCAAGAATACACAAATACAACAGTGGTACAGTAGCGGCTTAGCGGTCTAAGGTAGGCAGGCTGTTTATCCCTACATCGTTGGGTCTTGCGCTGCAGTTGACACGCGAGTCATGTATAGGCAGCAGGGATGGAAAAGGTGCAAACTTTGCATATGTAGGTTAAGGAGCTCTTGGGCAATGAGATCACGAGCTTTAGAAACGGATCGATGCGTTTCCCGAAGCCCCCCAACTTTCAAAAACTTCTCATTTAACCTTCTCACTCCATCTCGAAAAGTTTTTGACCGGATGCGGCTGGAATGCGCCTGTGACCAGCTCACTCACTGGTGGCGAAGTCTTTGTCCCAGCCACAGTCTGGATCCTCGTCATCCTTGTATGGAATCTGTGGGGGTGTGGGCAAGAGGCCGAAGTTCGTGATGTCTTTGATGTTCTCTGCGGCTGGCACCCGGATTCCACACATGCGGATGTCGACTAGCTGGAACCCACTCGCGCCAACTTGAGACTCGCACATACGGGGGCGGCATTGACAGACTTTCCAGCTGGCTCCACTCGAAGCCCGTAAACCACGGGTGGGTCTTGATGTGCTGAATGCCTAACCGAACGAAACCAAGCAGGGCAAGTAACAAAAACACTCTGGCCAAAACACATCAGGCCTCCTTTCGTTGCCAATCGCTTGGCCGGATCGCTGTCGCATAGGCCCTTCACCTGTGCTCCCGGAAGTCTGCTAGCAGCTTGAATACGAGTCCAGGGCCCTGGGAATATATATATACATATATATATATATATATACATACATACATATGTATATGTATATATATATATATATAGTTACATGTGTATATATATATATATACACACACGCACAATATTCCGGACGCTGGTGCTGAAGCCCGCTGCTGAGCTCTGGGCCAAAGCCACCAGATCTTCCGGGAGCACTCCGAAGTCGACCGCATCGATTCGGTTCAGAACCTGTCCAAGAAGAAATCTAGCCAGTCCGACAGCCTCCAATCCCAAAAACAGGACTAGAATTCCGCGACCTTGGAAGGGCCTAAGACCGTGCCGTCATGACGGCCACGAGCCTTCGCGTAAACATCCATGGAGTCGGAATCGAAGGGCCAGGCTCCTGCAAACACTGCTGGCGGAGTGCTCGCTGCTTGCACTCGCTGTCGGGAAAGATGGGGCAACTTCGACTGTACTGTTCTCTCTCTCTCTCTCTCTCTCTCTCTCTCTCTCGGCAAAATGACCGTCGACTCGGCCTGACATGAACTCAAAGGCGAGGACGCCCAGGCTCCACCAATCAACAGCGTGACTGTGGCCACGCTGGAGAGGATCCAGCAGCTCCGGCGCACTGTAATGCGCAGTGCCGCACAAGGTGTGCGTCAAGCCTCGGCAGGACCCTCAAGGAAGCCTTATTCTGCAGTCCTTAACAGTGGGATCCTACTCTTTAGGGTACTGCATGGGTCCTCAAGGTTCGGAAACTCCCAAGTGGGGTGCCTGCCTGTGCTTAGGAAGTCTGCCAAACATGCCACGGCACCGGAGGTCAGAACCTTCGCGAATCCAAAATCTGTCAGTTTGGACCAGCCTTTTTCGGTCAGAAGGAGGTTCTCGGGCTTGAGATCTCGGAAGACAACCCTGCAGAAGGCTGCAAAGATTCTGACAAGCCATGCAAACAAGTTGTGTCATGCACAAATGTCATGTCGAAATTGTCACCGTTCCACCGAGCATCTTCCACACACACACACAACACACACAACACACACAACACACAACACACACACACACAACACAACACACACACACACACCCAACACACACACACAACCAACACACACACACAACCAACACACACACACACACACACACGCACACACACAACACACACACACGCAACACACACAAACAACCAACACACACACACACAAAACACAACACAACACAACACAACACAACACAACACAACACAACACAACACAACACAACACAACACAACACAACACAACACAACACAACACAACCAACACACACACACACACACACACACAACACACACACACACACACACACACGCGCGCGGGCACACCACCAGCGCGATGTATACACCCTCTGATTACACCTCGCTTTTGTAAAGTGGGCAAACCGCCGGAGAAGAAGACAGACTTACACATTCCTTCAAGAATCCAACGGTATCACAAACGCCATTCTGCCAGCCTCGGGATTGGCCAAGTGGATCCCGGGCGACATAATCCGCAGTTGATGCCGTAGCCGTAGCCCAGCGACCTCAACAAACATTTTGAAGCAATGAGGGATGTTGAGGGCTGGCGCAAATCTCAGCTTTGCACGTCCAGGTCACCATGTCACGGCATACGTGGATGGAAGCCACGGGAACACTGGAGCCCCTATAACCGGCAAATGGAGGCCTCCGTCACCATAGGATGCAGGTCGAAGCAAACCGCGCCATTGCGACCATTTCGGAAGGTGGGGATACGAGGCTCATGCAATTTTCTATTGAGCCAAACGGCCAATCAATCGAGAAGCGATCTCGGAGGATGCGACACGGATGCGACAACTGTGCTCACTGGTGCAGCTTCTTTCTGCCTCCGAATCGAAGATTCGCAAGCTTTAAGTTTGCTCTTCTCATGTGTCCTCCACAAAGTCTCTCCGCCAATTCGGGTCTGGAGCTGAAATTGATCCACTTCGGCTCTGCTGCAGGGCAGATGTCATGACACGCTTAGTGCCAATCTAGCCTCAATACCGATACCGCGTCTGCTTAAGAACCCACAATGACTAGATTCCACGGATGCACAAGGAAGACAGCAAACGAAGTGCGGCAAGGTGACACCCGAAAGCCATCAGCACGGCTCTACCATCCCAAGATGTCGATTCTCATTGCAGGCTTCCATAAGAGGGAGCCTCAGGATGATGTCCGGCATCGCTCCTCGTGGGGGGTCCACCTGCAAAGACCCAGGCCGGCGGAACACCCAAGCATCGGCATTGAATCTCTGGACAGCTCGTCGGCCAACTAGCATTATACGCGTATCAGTAACGTCATGATGTTTAGAGTGGACGGCCTCACAAAACTCAGGACCACCAACATCGCCGTCCACACCACCATCGACATCACTCCTGGCTAGAATTGTAATCGTCTTCACTGCTACGAGTACAGTACAGGAGCTTTCATCGTGACAGCAACAACTGCGCTAACTGCCACAGTTGTAAATCTTCGCCGAGCTTTGCAGGCAGCGCATGGCGCTTCCTTGCCGTTCTGCCCTCGTTTAGACAGCGCCGTGGGTTTTGGTATGTTTTGGTGATCGGATTACGGGTTTAGCGTAAATGTCTTTTGGGGAGCATTCTTGGGGTTCGACGGAGCTGAGAATGCTCCCATAGCCCTGCCCAGGCAAGCCGAGCCACCTCAAAGACAAAACATCGCGAAGCTGCATTTTCGCTTGCTGAGGATATGCTGCATAGTAGGATGCCTAATATGGTTTAAGGTATATTCCTTAATTATGGGATACATCGGAATCTTCAGCCGATTTCTTCCAGTATTTTCTGTTGAATCATGGATCCTTCTACCCACAAGGCGAATTTCCATTATCCCGGAGAAAACGACATCGGGGAGGAAAGTGTGGGAAGATCCGACGAAGGACTGCGGACCACATGTTGAAGTAAGCCTACGGCTCAGGGACTGCACGTCCTGCCTTGATCAGCTTCCTCCTCGACTCGACTTCTTGATCAACCTTTCGACTGCGGGCTCGAAGCAGCTCAGTGATTGGCGGTGTTCTGGGTATTTGCTGCTCAAAAGGATTCGGAAGGGCTACATGTTGCGCCGGGTCATGGTAGTTGCATGGCTTGGCTGCCGGCTGGCGATGCCACAAGAACCTCTGTCAATGCTGAAAAACCTCAAGAAACGCCGATAAATAGAACCAGACATACCAAACCACATGATATGCAGTCCAGTACACATGTTAGGCAATCACCTCACATGTTGAAAGCCTGGCCCACCCTCAACAGCCACATGCAACCGAGAAGAATTCTCTCCAACCATGCTGTACATCGACAAAGCAGGACAGTGTAAACCTCGATGGGGCATTACATGTTATGGGTTTGGGCGCTAAGGGCTTCAATGGGTTCACGGCCCCTACGTTTTTCAAGTAAGTGCCTGCAAGGGCCGAACTGTTGATGCGATGTGAACCCGGCCTTGTGGACTCAAGACGCCGCCATCAGTAGGGACTGTTGTGGTCTGGCAGAACCACGCGGAATGCATGGCAACAGCCACAGTCTCGGAACAAAGTAGTATAAACGCCTTTTAACATTAAGGGTCGAGTTGGGGGCGGCGAGGGTTGGCCTCTTTCTCTTTTGTCAGCACCAGAGAAATCGTTAAGGAGCCGGTGACCGTCATCGCCGTCGCCGACCTGAGCTCAGGTGTGGGTCCGTGCGCATGCGGCGCAGGGTCCTCAACGGGTGAGGCGCGATCCAAGGGCTCGGGCAGCTTCAGAGCCCGCGCACAGCTGCGGCACCTGAGATCGTTCTGAAGGCGCGCTGAAAGAATCTTGAAGTGAAGTGTTGCATCATCTTGGTATATCTGCTCCGCACCTCTGTGAACTTGGACTCGCCCGGAACCACACAAGGATGTCGATGCGTTTGCTGACATCCTGCGCATGGGCCCCCGCCGATCATTCAGCCGTTGACCCAGCTCTCCGTCCTCGGACGGCCCTGTCAGCCACAAAGCCCACGGACGCATTTGCTCAGTCCGATATGACCTGCATTTCACCCGCTGGCAAGTAAGGGTGAGACGTGCTTGCACTTCTGGGACTGGGGACGGCACGGCTTGCGACTGCTCCAGCTGAGCTTGCAGTGTCCATCCTGGTCGAAGCTTCCGCACGAGCAATTCTGCGAGGGTGAAAAAAGCCCCTGCAACTACGGCAGGGACGGCCTTCGGTATTGCCAACAAGTCAGCATCTACCGAGGCGAGAACACGAAAAGAAAGCGTTGTAACGCTCGATTGCATGCGTTGTTGCGGCTGCCTGGCATACTCTTCATGCTTTGCACGCACTGTGACATCGGAAACATGCCTGTCACGTTGGCGTCCACGCTCGCTGCACTGCCCGTGAAGGCTGCTCGATCGGGAGACGCCTGGGACGTGGGAAAAAAGAAGCAAAAGTAAAGAAGGGAACTGTCCACACATTTCCGTAAGCGCAACTCCGAAACATTGAACCTTCAAGCTCGTAATAGTTCTGCGGGAAAGAAGCGTGCTTGGACAATTCTGAAGCAATTCGTTCCTCCACCAAGTTCGGAAACTGCACAAGCACATTCAGGCAATGCCTCCTGCCGTTCTTTCTCATGCCTGACAGATCACCATGGTCAACGATTCTGCAACTCTGGACAAATTGCTCAAGTGCCTGGGCATTGGCTTGTTCGGAGCAACAACCGCGATAGCTGCAAAAGCAGTTGCAACCTGAGCTCATGAAACTTGTGCTTCGACAATCATCAACACCAACTCACTGTGCACAAAGCCTCCAGGACGCCAGTCATCGCGAATCTTCAAAGATCTTCCGCGGCAGGGTTTGCCCAAGATGGGACGGAATGCATTTGCAAATATCAAACCAGAATTCTGCCAGTTCGGAGCCAAGTTGTTCTAATCAGCTTCTTGTGTTCGCATCGGAACCACCAGAGAGGTAGTTGGATGCCATGGACACTTGACGAACATGGTCTGTATAATTTGCGAAGACAACCTGAACCAAGCGTCTTTGAAGGTCGAAAACAGCTAGGAATGGTCCACTGCACAAACAACACATGCTGGCAGAGGCTGACAAATCGCAGCTGTGGGCTCATTTCTGCTTGCCCTTTTGTTCGGCACGTTTAGGAGTAAGAAAGCTGCCGGAAAGGCCTGGGCTCATTACAGAAACATTATGCAGCTCTGTGCTCGGTCTTTACCTCGGGATCTTGGCATCCTCCCGTGCTCGAGAAGTTGTTTTGCCAGCCAGAGCGATTCACGGTTTCTGCTGAAGCGTGAAGGTGCGTATTTGCACCGACCGATGGAAGTGGCAAAAAGCATCCTACTAGCTTCTCTCTGCAAGCTGAGGCAGCAGCACCAACCTTTTTGTTGGCTGGGCTACTCCAACCGTATGTGTGGCAGTTGGGCTACTTTGGCCAGGACTCGACAATCCTTTCACTGCACACCTTAGACTCGCAATGACTGGCTTCCTGTGTAGTGGTAAATTGCAATCACTCCACTGTGTATGCACAACCCGGAGGCCCCAAAGTAG